ATCCTACTTATAATACTAAAGTAATAGAGTTAATAAAGCACATATATACTACTTATAATATTAAATTAATATGAGCCACATTAAAACAACAGGATTTAAAAGAAAGGAGACTTCATCACATCAAGAGACAGCTAAGGACAGGTAGAGACAGGTAAGGACACAGAGACAGGAGACAGGAAACAGACAGTTGCATACCTTTTGCCTCCTCTGCCTCTACGGTGGCTGTGTAAGTGTCAGTAGAAGAGCCCAAAACGAATGGAGAGAGAGAACGTTATCAATGCATAATGGATTGTTAGACAAACAACATGTGTCTCTCAGAGCGTTCAGGGTCGGACTCTCAGAGCGTTCAGGGTCGGACTCTCAGAGCGTTCAGGGTCGGACTCTCAGAGCGTTCAGGGTCGGACTCTCAGTGTGTATTTTGGTGGGATGCTCGGCTGTGTTGGTTCTCACCGCTCTGCAGAGTTCTCCGACCGCCGGACAAAACTCCCACCGGCAGCGTTCCTGTCGGGGTCAAACCCTTCAGCTGCAACACACTCTCGTTCTCCTCTCTGTGAACACACACACACACACACATCAGTGATTCAATTACAACTTTATTAAACCAGCTATTTACAAGTTTACAACCCGTGTTTTTTTAATCTGGTGTTCCTCAGGGATCCATCATAGTACCACTGAGTTTATTCTTATTAAAGGGACAGTAGTGATGTTTTTAAATGTATGTGGTACTTCTTCATAGTCAGTGTATTACTACAGTAGTAGTACTTGTACTGCAGTAGAGGATCAGAGTACTTCTTCATAGTCAGTGTATTACTACAGTAGTAGTACTTGTACTGCAGTAGAGGATCAGAGTACTTCTTCATAGTCAGTGTATTACTACAGTAGTAGTACTTGTACTGCAGTAGAGACGTTGTCGTCAGCAGAAAGCAGAAGTGGAGAAACTTAAATCACACATAAGAACTAAAAGAGGAAGAGTTGAGGCCTTGAAATAACTTCTTCATCATTAGAGGACAAACGATGGAGACACACTTCCTCAGGAAGGAAAGAGGACAATCAGGACAAGTCATTAGCTTTGGGTGAAGTGGAGCACGAGTGAGACGAGAAGAGTTTCTATTACGATAGACTGATAAACATATAAACATCTTTATACTGTGAACCAGAGAGAAGAGTTCATCCACAGTCAGAAACAGGTTAAGCTGGTGAACATGGAGACGTTCAGCTACACACAGAGAGCAGAGACGAGAGACTCACCGCAGCACAGAGAACACTCGAGCCATCTTTCCAATCGCCCGGATCTTGTTTCTGATCACCTCCTTCCTCACGGCTGGAGTTCCTCCTGGAGGCAGGAGGACAGAAGAAGAACATCAACGTTCTCCATGTTCTGAAGCTCCACAGCCTCAACGTCTACACCGTGTGGAACAACTTCATCAGATCATTGAAATCGGAGTTTAAAACTCTGATCGGCTTTCCAATTATTTAGAAACTTCCCTTCTTTTTGATCTGTAACTATTTATTTACTTTGTCTTTTAAATGCAATTTATTTCAAATTGTAAAATTTTAAATTCTTGTTCTTATCGTCTTTTACATGCTAATTATTTGTATTATTCGATTGTTCCCGTTTATTATTGCCCTTTAATTTCAACGTCTTCTGAACTTTAACTATTTATTTGTTTGGTCTCTTTTTGTTTTTAAATGCAATTTATTTAGAATCATTGATTGGCTTGTTTTTATTGATTATATTAATAATTCTTCATCGCGCTCTAGTCTAGATGTAGTTTGAGGTTCACAGCGTCAGACTAGAAGTAAACATTTCATCTTCACGTCTCCTTCAGTCCAAACTATGTAGATCAAACCTGTGCATTACAAGACCTTTATGAATGAAGTCTGTTCAACCATCATGAACATGGAGACTCGGTCCTTTAACCCCTTCACACCTCACCTTCCTCTTCTACATTATTACATTCAGTGAAGAAGAAGCTTCACTACAGCAACACCACACTTCTATTCAATAGCGCGCACGCACGCGCACACACAGGATGAAGAAGAGCCTTCATTAAACAAATGAAGAAGAGTTCCGTCCTTCAGAAGAGGGGAAGTGTTAAAGTCTTTAACTAAATGAAAAGCAGCAGCAGAGAGGTGTGATGATGATGATGGCGATGAAGATGCTACTTCCTCTTACCTTCACACGTGTCGTCTCCTTCTGACATCAGCTCGTCGTCAGAGCAGATGTTCAACACGTTCACCAGCATCTCTGTGACTGAGAGCACAAGTTCAGTCAGTCACAACATGTAAAGGCTTCATTTAGAGATCATCAGTTCATAGAACAGTGACGCTTCACTCTGATAACCATCAACTAAAGATATTCACTCTGTCATAAATGATAAAGAAATGTAAATGTTCACATTTGAGAAGCTGGAACCAAAGAACTTTTGGTATTCTTGCTTTTAAAAAATAACATTTTTACATCAATTACATTGATTTATAAAATAGCTGCCAAATGATCTTCTATTCAGTGATAAATAACTGTTTATTAAAAAGGCAAATTTATCAAAAAAACAAGAGAATAGAAAATTAAAACCAGTTAAAAGAGAATAAAGGTTACAGAACAGAGTATGAAATGAATAATCATTTGATTTATTAAAAGGCAGCTTCATGTAACACGTTTACAGAGAGCTGAGAACTCATCATGACGTCTCTCTGGTTCTGTGTCACGTGATTCATAACTCTGTGAAACATGATATTAATGACGGATCTAATTTACTCCGGTGGCTTTAAGGCTCGGAGCTGCACGTCATGCTTGCGCCATGCTGGCGTCATGTTAGCGTAACGTAACATGAGGTTGATAACATGTTTACACAGAGCCAGAAGTATGGATTTAGAAGAATAACAGTCTTTCATCTTGTATTGTTTAGATCAGTGACCCGTTTTCAGTGGGTCGCGGGCCTTTGCCTGAAAAAAAAAAAAAAAAATCCTGTGCTTTTACTTTATTCACACAGTATTTGGCGTTAATGCCTTGTAATGCTAATAGATACCCGCCAATTCACAGCATAGAAGAACACCCACACAGTTTGGTTTCATGCTAATTTGCAAAACGCAAGTATGACACAGACTACATGAGATATGGATTTTCTTACATTGAGGACAAAAGAGGGCAAAACCCTCAGTGTGTTTTGTGCAGCGGGGTTCTGGCAGAAGAAAGCATGAAGCCGTTTTACTGGTTTACGTGAAACATGTGGGACGGGGACGGACAGGAACAAGTTCTCTGCACTAGAGAGCTCCTACACTACGACTGCAGAGGATATCTTCAGCTCAGGTTCAAACTGCTCCATCTTTTCATTAAATACATTTGAGAAGTTGAAAATTTGGGTCGCGGCTTGTCATTAAGGGGTGATGGTGGGTCTTGCAGCCAGACCAGTTGAGAACCACTGGTTTAGATTGATGCGTTTGCTGTGTGTTGAAGTTTCTGCCGGTTTAAATGACATTTTTCACCTCCATCTTTACATAAATGCTGCTTAAAGCTGTACAGCATCGACACACAACATGGGACACCTCATTTATGTCATCACGATGACATCACAGCCTCACCTTTCTCTCCGACAAAGGGCAGCGACCAGGTGAAGACGTCCATGAAGTTGGGCAGCCAGTAGGGGTGAGGAGAGCAGTTAAACTGACGGATGTTCATCACGTTATTCTCATATTTCAGCACCGCCGCTGAGAACACAACACACACATTAACATTCTCTACTTCCTGTCTCTGACACGCACATTAACATTCTCTACTTCCTGTCTCTGACACGCACTTTAACATTCTCTACTTCCTGTCTCTGACACGCACACTAACATTCTCTACTTCCTGTCTCTAACACGCACTAACGTTCTCTACTTCCTGTCTCTAACACGCACTAACATTCTCTACTTCCTGTCTCTGACACACATTAACACTCTACTTCCTGTCTCTGACACACACATTAACATTCTCTACTTCCTGTCTCCTGTTGCCAGGGCTTCAAGGTCTGCTACCTGTTTCCATGGTTCCTCTCACCTTTGTTATTGTACACATCCAGGTAGTTCGGAGCAGAGAAGATGGTGATTAAAGAAGGGAAGCCTGTCGTCTGACTCTTCCTGTACATTCGATACCTGAAGGACACAGTTTAGAAGATGAGGATAGAATAAGATAAGCTTCTATTAGATAAAGTATAATAAGTAGTGCTGGGCAATGATTACAATTTTTAATTGTAATCATTGCCCAGCACTACAAAAAAAAAATATATATACACACACACATACACATATATATATACACACATACACACATATATATATACA